GAAAAGATTCGGATAGTGACATATCAGATTATGCAATGAATACGAGCTCAAGTAGTTCTAATGAGAGTATAGTACATGAAAACAAAAAAAGGAAACAGAAAAACCAATCATGTAAATATATGATAAATAGATGTTATGTACATCAAGCTCTCCTTCAATCATTTTTCATCATAGATTCTATTTGCATTGCAGGCCGTGAAACATATATAAAAAAAAACGGTGAACAGATAAAGAGATAACAGATGCAAAAGTATATTTTTCAAAATATATACGTAAAGGAAAATTGCCACCGTTACCAGAAATAGAAAAGGTTAAAATGACATATAACATCTTAAAAGATAGGAAACCCGATGTAATAAAAACATGGTTACACAACCAGTTAAAAAAAAAAAAAACTTTTGAGTAAAATGATATACATTTATGATTTTATTTTTAAGCATTTATGATTTTATTTTATAAGCATGCGCGTTATAAGACTTATTTTTAAAAAGTTTTTGTTTTTAAGTTTTTGACATTGCATTTATTTGTTACTAAAATGATCAACATTCAAGAACATTTATATTTTATGTAGTAATAATAGTTAATACTATATTTAAAAAAAACTATAACTTGTAAGTAAAGTGATATATCCCGTTGTGACGTAGCTAGTTTGGTCGTTAGATGTTTTGGATTTCCAAATTGCTGGCTCCTTGTCCCTCCAAGGTCTTCCTTGATTGGCGATCGTATTTTCCGTGACGCTTCAGCGACTTTCCGCTTCTTCTTCCGATGAGGCTCCCAAATGAATTATTCATACGAAAGAAAATCATAAACGAAATTAATATTACGCTCGAAATCTCAATTAATGACGCCTCTCTGGAGGTAACGGTACGGTTCTCGCAATGATTCGACTGGCGCGGCCCTTCAGCCCGCGCTTTTTCGATCGGAGAGGAACTCGGCGAACGCGCGCGAGACGGCAACGTCACACTATATATAATATTCCCTAATTTAAAGAAAAGCCAACTTGTGAATAGTTATGAGATCTTTATTAATCTAATTCAAACTTACATTACTTTCATTATTCCAGTTACATGATATAAATGTGAATAATAACAATTTTGTTACAAGTAGCAATTGTGCGCCAGAAAATATTTTAGATGTCAGTGAAAAAATAGAATGCAGTGATAAAGCTAATACATCTAGCATAAGCAATATAAGTAATATTATGGATTCAAGTTTAATATCATTTTTAAATAAAGAATCTATTTGCACATCTTTAGCAGAATCAGAAACAATATGTGAGTCACTTTGTAACATTGATCAACAAACGCACTACAACACAAATGATGAATTGACTGAAAAGAATTTAAATAAAAATCATATAAATAATAAAGTTATTGATACTGAAAATGAAGTCTCGTCAATGCATATAAATAAAGAAAAGCTAATATCAATGGAAACTGTATTAGATAAAGAAAATCTAAACATGATTAAAGATGATTCTCCTATTATTCATGCAGAAGATAAATTTAAATATATTCTATACATTAGATTGGTATATAAAATTTAATGATTTTTTTTTTAGATCAAATTAAGAAGAACGCGTTAAAAAATAATAAAATAAGAAAAAATGTTACATCAAATGTATATCATTTGACTGATTGCAGTAATAATATAAAAAATGATGTTTCTTTAAGTAAAACTTATAAAATAGATGAACAGTCAAAACAGATATATAAAGCTGAAAGAGCACTCTGTCATATTCAGAGAAGTGACATGAGTGAAGAATCAAAAAAACAATCATGCAATTTTCAACAATCAGATAAAAATTGTTTCCAACAATTAACTGATATCACAAATCAAGATGAAAATTTAATTAAAATGAAAAAACGTTCAAGATAAAAGCTCTTCGCATTCTATTTCTAAAGACATGCATCATGAAAAGACCGTTGCACATTTTGATAATTATGATTGTAATAATAATTTTAAAAAAATAGTGCCAAAATGTATCATTACTGAAGACATTATATACAATACACCATATACTATCTTAAAAGTAAGACCAACAAAAATTGATAAAAAAGAAAATAAACAAGGAATACTTAAATCTTCAGCAAGAAATAAATATTCGAAAGTTAGATTATCTAACAAGAAGTCTATATCATTTTCAAATTTATCAAGCTATAGTAAGTAGTAGAAAATGAATAATTTTAAATACAAAGATTTTGAGTATAGATAGCAATATTTTTTAATGCTCATAAATTAATTATACTTATTAATTTATTTAAGAAATTAATATACTTGGAATTGAATATCTTTTAGCTGTACTTATACTAGATTTTTTAGATATATACTTTTGTTTCTATTTTAGATGATGGCAATAATGATAGTTTAAAAACAAATGTAACTGAAAATATCAGTGAGTACGAACCAACTGATGAGGAAACTCGAAGTTCATCAGAAATTAATAACACAGAGATAACGGCAAATTCGAACAATAATACTAATGAAATAAGCAGTGCACCCAAAAACAATGAATATAGTCAATTCAAATTTAATGTTCCTGGAAATAGTGCATGTAATGATTTTGAATTATCTGCTGAAATGTCAAATGGTCCTAAAGGTAACAACAAAAAAAATTTGTGTATTTTGCCATACTCTACAAAGTAAAATAGCGCGTCATTTGGAAAACAAACACCGCGATGAGGATCAAGTCAAAGATTTCTTAAATTTACCAAAAGGATGTGCTGAACGTTTATATAAAATAGCAAGTATAAGAAAAGAAGGAAATTTTATTTTCAATGCAACAAAGGAGTTTAATTATGGTAGATTGATAACTGTTAGAAGACCTACACAAAAAACGAAACAGAATGGTACGAATTTTGTTAATTGCCCTTACTGTAATGGGTTTTATGCGCGGAATAATTTAAGACATCATGTCCAACAATGTAATAAGGATGAAAATTCAAGTGCTCGAACAACTTTACAAAATGCTCGAAGAGCTCTTGGCAGATATCATTCAGAAACAAGCAGAAGAATGAGAGTAGAAATATTGCCAATCTTACAAGAAAATGAAATAACCAAAGCTATAAGATATAATCGTGCAATTATTCTCTATGGAAATAATATGTGCAAAAGCCATGTTCATGAACATCAGAATAACTATATACGGGCTCACCTACGTCTCCTAGGTCGTTTAGTATTAGCTTTGAGAAATCGAAACTCTGAAATTAATACTTTAGCTGATGCATATGCTCCACAATTTTACAAAATGATCATTGAGGCAGTCAATGACGTTGCAGAATTTGATTATAATACAAATATGTATAAACATCCAACTAATGCATCTACTCTTGGTGGTACCTGTATAAAAAAAATCGGCAAAATCTTAGATGTTATATATATGGTAGACAATGATTTAATAAAGCGGAAAGATGTTGAGGATTTTATGAAGATTTATGATGTAGATTTTAGTGGAACTGTAAATAAGGTGGTAATAGGAACCCAAACAAAAATGAAACGACAAAAAAAGATAGTATTGCCTCGAACAAGTGATATTAAAATTCTAAGCGATTATTTGAAAAAAAAAATAAATGAGAATAGTAAAATATTATCAAAAGAATTTTCATACGAAGCATGGAAAGCATTAGCCGAGGTAACTCTTATAGCCATTCAAGTATTTAATCGTCGCAGAGCCGGAGAAACTGAAAGGATTTTAATTAACGACTATAAAAACTATGAATGCGCCTGTGGTACAAATGCTATGTGTAAATCTTCCAAACAAACCGACAAAACTCATAACTATGTTAGATTTACTATTCGCGGAAAATTAAATAGAACAGTTCCAGTGCTATTAGATACGCAAATGTTAGAAAGTATTCAACTCTTGTTACAATTTCGAAAGGATGCTAAGGTGCCATCAAGAAATCCTTTTTTGTTTGGATTACCTAGTGTTAATAAAAGACACTATAAACATTTACGAGCTTGTAGATTAATGCGAGATTTTGCAAGTGAATGTGGAGCAAAAAATATTTCCACACTGCGTGGTACTACCTTGCGCAAACATGTTGCAACACAATGTGTGGATTTAAACTTGACAGATAATCAAATAACGAGGGTAGCAAACTTTATGGGTCATCATGAACACATTCACAAAGAGATTTATAGGCAACCCGTTGCTAAAGTTGATATACTAGAAATGTCAAAGATTTTAGAAAAAGCTCAAGGAGTGAATATGACGACAACCTCTAACGAAACTGATGTAACTATGAACAGTGAAAACAATAATCTTTCCTTCAATAATCAAGGTTAGCAACTATACTAACTTTAATTAAGAGTAAAATTATCATTAATTTATTATTTGTACTTTTGTTTATCAGACATATCACAGACATTTGTCGATACAAATGAAGCATCTACTGATACTTCAATAGAAACAAAGGAAAAAAAGGAAGTTTGGAAAAAAAAGAAACAGAAAGTAAAGCGAACGGAAATTACACAAAATAGAGAAAAATAAAATAATACAATAAAAAAAATGCAAAATGTACAAAAAAAGAATAAAGACAAAGATAAATTTTGCAAAGGTAAATTATGCTTATTGCTTTCTGTTATTAATATTTTTGTTCTATATAACATGTGCTCCTTTAAAGAACTTTTTAATAATATTTAAATTTAACACAGAAAACAAACGAGTCTTAAATCCACGAAAAAAACAAAATATTTATTCCAAAAACAAAGGTCTAATTTATCGTAAGTACACAATTGTGTATATCACAATTATTACTACCCATGTGTAAATTGACAGTCAAAAATTTCTTTATTAAATATTCATATTTAAATGAGAACATTAGCTTAAACAAAATGTTTTTTTTAAATATAGTTTTATCTTTATTTTTCATATTACGCTTGGATTTCAGGTTATTTTTATATTATAATTTTTCTTTCTTTTTTTCGTTTTTAATAGGAAAAGATTCGGATAGTGACATATCAGATTATGCAATGAATACGACCTCAAGTAGTTCTATTGAGAGTATAGTACATGAAAACAAAAAAAGGAAACAGAAAAACCAATCATGTAAATATATGATAAATAGATGTTATGTACATCAAGCTCTCCTTCAATCATTTTTCATCATAGATTCTATTTGCATTGCAGGCCGTGAAACATATATAAAAAAAAACGGTGAACAGATAAAGAGATAACAGATGCAAAAGTATATTTTTCAAAATATATACGTAAAGGAAAATTGCCACCGTTACCAGAAATAGAAAAGGTTAAAATGACATATAACATCTTAAAAGATAGGAAACCCGATGTAATAAAAACATGGTTACACAACCAGTTAAAAAAAAAAAAAACTTTTGAGTAAAATGATATACATTTATGATTTTATTTTTAAGCATTTATGATTTTATTTTATAAGCATGCGCGTTATAAGACTTATTTTTAAAAAGTTTTTGTTTTTAAGTTTTTGACATTGCATTTATTTGTTACTAAAATGATCAACATTCAAGAACATTTATATTTTATGTAGTAATAATAGTTAATACTATATTTAAAAAAAAAAAACTATAACTTGTAAGTAAAGTGATATATAGATGATATTATATATACATCTATTATATATTTTATTTCGTAAGATAATAAGTTATATAAGATTGAGATTCATTAAATTTTTATTTCTAAATTCTATGTTGTTCCAGTGATTATGTGTAATATGTTTATTAATATTAATTATTATTAATTTGTTATTTTGTACGTATTACTGAATACGTCATTACTGAATATTCAAATATGTTTTTTTATTTATAAAATAGTTTTTATAAAAGTTATAATAAATAAAACTATAG